TCACATTACTTCATCCAGCTGTACTAATCGTCAACAACAGGTGTGTTCGGGGAACCGGAATAGCGAGCTCACGGTTAGCGCGATGATTAGATCTTGGATGTAGTAAGCGAGGTACGAAGAACGGACCCCTGGTCTACGGGGTGGTTTGTTCACAGAAGAAAGCCAAAGTAATTTGGAGATAAATATTCATTTTGGTGCCACGTAACAGGATTCGTCGAAAGACCTTTTTCTGCTTCTCTTTACAGACTTCTTTGTGGTCGCCCACGAGTCAGTGAAGGAGGACATCTTTTCTGCCAGAGTCAGTGAAACCTTCTCTGAACTTAAACTCTCATATGATGTGAGAATGTAGGCAAAGGGTCACTTTAAGGTCTCCAGCCTAACACTAGCTGCCATAACCAGCTGTTCAGAAAACAATGCGTTACATTGGTTTGCATTTTCCAGTCATTTCTATTCTGATTTCATTTTGCTCATGTTAAACTCGTTTCAGGTCACGGGCCACGTCACTGGCACACGGACACTTCCAGGACCAAAACCATTCTGAAACTCTCAGATTCATTTCAAATCATCTAAACTGTTTAGATGATTTATTTAACGTTTTCTATAACTCCAGTGATCAGCTACCTCTCCAGGACATGAACCTGCTGCAGATTCTAATAATGTATACTTTATTCTTCCCCGTAGGGAAATTAGTCCTCCGCATTCAACCCATTCACTTGGTGAAGCAGTGGGCAGCCAGCGCCCGGGGAGCAGTGTGTAGGAACGGTACCTTGCTCAGTGGATTCGAACCCCCGAGTCACGGGACGAACACTACCTACCGAGCTATCCCTGCCCTCTGCTTGAAGATGCGTCTAACAGACGTCAGTCAACAGTAATATTGAAGTGCATCAGACCCCAGGATTAGAGACTCCAGAGACCATATGATTTCCATAACGCTGCTGGGAAGCACTGACTGGTTAGCGCAACTGAACACCCTGCAGTCTTAGACTGTATTTGGGATATTCTCAAGGCTCAGTCTTATTTTAATATTTTATGGTAGTGTGCATAACTTGATATTCCAAACAAGCCATTCAAAAGCAAATGATGTGTGACTCATGCCCAGCGTGATGCAGCTTCCTTCAGACGTACACACACTGCTTTGTTTTTATTGAAGCAGAGCAGGGAATCCGTTCTGGATGCTTCTGTGTATCTGATGGAACAAATGCTGTGCAGCATGACCTGGACTGGTCTCAATACTGGATGCTGTTCCTCCCTGATGAGTGCTAAATTACAGTAATAACAAACTATAAATAAAATAAAGCAAATAGGTTAGCTGTGGCCTTCAGTCACTACCCAGCTGACAGCGCTGTCCACCCCATCATCATATCATTTGAAACAATGGTATTCCATCGTCCCTGTAGAGACCCGGAGAATCAGTGCAGGAAAGCACTGGAGAGTTTTTGGCACATGGCGGTGGCCCAACACCTCACTCAGACACATCAGTCAATATGTAAATAGAACAACAAAGCAGCAAAACCAGAATAAATGATTATTAATTAAAACCAGAATGTGTTCTTTTTAAAATGCTGTGAAGCACAGCACGTATCAGTGATCAATAAAGCCATCAGTTACAGCACGCAAGAGGCACAAGCAGTCTTAAGACACTAACACGGAAATACAAACCACAAACGGAGCCTCTTTCTAATCCGTCTTAGCCCACTAGACTTCGTTCTGTGGAACTGTGGTGGCCTACTCTTTTCCGCTCAGCATATCACTGAATGCGTGAAGGTCACACGTCACGCCACGGCTTCACTGGACAGCAAATAAGATGCCAGCGCAGAGGCCAGCGGGTTTTCCGCTTAGTCGAAGAAGGAAATTTTTCTAATTGTGGAAACTTTCTTGGTTGTGTGGTTAACCAACAAACGGATGCTGCTCTTCCTTTCCATCCTAAACGACGCTACATTGAACTGAATTAAGTTCAAAATACTTTAGATGAAGACGAAATCTGATCAAATACATTATTTTATGTGGCAACATGTCGTTTCAACACACAATAAACAATAGTGACAAATCTTAAGAAACTTTTCACGACACTTGTTGAGAACAGTTATGAATGAAACAACGGCGCTCTGACACGGACAGTGAAATGGATGTTTTACTCACCAAATGGTTCTTTGTAGGCGTTCAAACTGCTCATGTTTGAGGCTGGGATGTCTCCCATGCAGGGAAATGTAAAAGGAGTGGACAGAAACTGTCTCCACGCAGTAAAAACACGCAGTTATCCTCAGCCCCGACCTCACAGAAAGCTCCAATGCCACCCCAGCGGCGGCGACTCAAACAAATGAAACACCTCTGTGATGAAAAGGTGCGAGGATTAATGCTGCCTTCAAGGCCCACCCGTAATTTCCAGCCGAAGGCGGTTCATCTATGACGACAGAAGAATACGTCCTTGCTAGAAATATATGATAAAATATTCATGTTTTTTAATATCTAAAATCAAATCAAAGCCCTCTGAAAAAGGAAAAGAAGCGAACACACAGACGAGCAAACGTCTCTCCAGATATGCTCAAAGCGCTTCTTCACGCCGCCTTCCGTCTCTTTATTTTGGGACGCTAGCGGACCAACTCTGTTTGACGCGGTGCTTTTCAGGTCAAAGAAAAAAGCTGAAGGGGTAATCAGCACAGTAGGTGTCCCATTCGATCCGGTCGTATTGCTTTTGCTTGTAATAGAAATATCATCATGTGAAAAGGAGAGTTTTTACGCCAGTCTTGTAGAAGCACCTTCAGCAGCAATAAATTGAAATAACTGGTTTCACTATAATTAGTCAGGCTCTGTAATGCTGCTTCAGCTCCACGAGGTGCACAAGCAAGTAAAACTGGGAAAGTACAGCTTTGAAAAGCACCCAAACGTGCCTGGTGTTACAGGCTCTCTGGATCTTCAGTGCCTGTGCTGTCTTTCAGCTCTGTCCAGCCACTGGTAGGATTTCTGGATATTTGCCTCTTCTTTTTCTGTCTGTCCAAATCTACTAGTTGGGAGCTTCCGTCTGTCTGCAGGTTAAAACTCTGTTGTGCAAAGAATAAGTTATATTAGAGCATACCACATTCGACCCTCTTCTGCCCGGGAACCATAACCATAGCCTCTGGGCCCTTCCCTCCCATTGTAAACACATGTAAAAAACCTCGGTGTCTACATTGATGGTTCTTTTAAAGTGAATAAGCAGGTGAGTGCAGCAGTTCAGTCCTGCTTCTTTCAGTTAAGACAGCTGACCAAGGTAAAGCCATCCCTCCTAAAGTCTTTGAGCGTGTTATTCACCTTTTCCTTACTTGCAGATGAGACTACTGCAATTCATTGTATTATGGTCTAGATCAGGCCTCCATCCATCGTCTTCACATGGTCCAAAAAGCAGCTGCTCGCCTGCTAACTGGTACCAAACAGAGAGAGCTTATAACCCCAGTTTTGGCTTCTCTACACTGGCTTCCTGTCTCCTACAGGATCCAATTTCAACTTTGACTTTTTGTTTTTAAGTCTCTTAACGCCCGAGCCCCTCCTTACCTGTCTGAGCCCCTCTCTGCCTATGCTCCAGGACAAACCACCAGGTCCAGCTCAAAACCACGGACTGATCTCAAATCCCGTGGTGATAGATCCTTCTCTGTGGCAGGTCCCAGAGTCTCAAATACTCTCCCCTTAAATATTAGATCTGCACAACACTTGATCAATTTAAATCTTTACTAAAGACACATTTCTATGCCCTGGCTTTTAACACACTATGACCCAGGCATTCTGGTCTTATTTGAAATAGTTTTAGTTATTGTTTTAATTCTTTTATTGTCCTATTATTGTTTTTTATTCTTATTAATGTATTACATTGTTGCTTTTTAATGCCATTTTTATATTGTTAAGCACTTTGTGCAGCATCGGCTGTTTGAAATGTGCTATAGAAATAAACTTGACCTTGACCTTGACCTTGTCTCGTAGGTGCTGATTTCTATTCCTAATGCTTCACACTAGGCTGTGAAACCAAGCTACAAGCCTCCACCTGATGAAGCCAACACAACCGCAACCCAACTGTTTCTTAAACATGGTAGTGTCATGAAATTCAAAGGATTATCTATTTTTTAAAATCAAAATAGCATATCTTCTTAGTTTAAATATTAGATATGGTTTCAATGTCCTAAAATGTCATACTATTTACTTGATGAAGATGTAAGGGCTCAAAAAGGGCTGTATTGGAAACAATATGCATAATAAAAAGAGAAAATCAACTTTACACATTGATTTGTAATTAATCAATTTGTTCAGGTACCTCTGAAAGGGGATGGCACAGTAGCACATTTTACGGGGTTTTGTTAAATATACAGTTATTGAACAGAAATGAGCCAAATCTCAGGGGATTGGGTGTTTTTCACACTTTCAGAGTTTTGGTCCTAAGACTAAATTCTATCCTGTGACTTCCATATTCCATCTGGACTGTAGGATATACTGATAAATCACAGATTTCTCTTTGTTTGGCTGGATCCAGTGGGTCTGTCATTCCCTCTGTGGTTACTGCCAACCCCACAGCTTGATGCTGCCACCACCATGCTCCACCTGTGTCATAGTGCAATGCCTATTTTCTTTTCATGATACCTGTCTTCGTGCGTTTTCTTTAATTGTTCATTTGAAATGTAAAACAACAAAAAGTGCAACGCAGTGAGAAAGACACCAGTGACCCCTGCAGGAGTGTTCAGGAAAAACATGCTAGACGGTCTTAGACAGTCTTACCTTTG